GAATTACTTGGATTTTCCTGGACCAGCAGTTAGCAGGAAGTTTTGGTGGAAATTGGGAGAGAGGCCAGGATAGTTCTAGAGGCATCTCTGCTGAAAGCTCTCTCTTATTCCTTTGATAAGGGCTCTTCCCCCTGTCCACACCTCTTTTGCTTTCCAGAACCCAACCTGGCTGCCTTCTAACCTGTCAACTTCTTTTTAAGGGGTTGCTTCTGAGACATTCCACTGCTGGGCTGCTCTGCACCCCATTCTCCCCACTTCACTGCCAAAGCTGCTGGCATGCTGGGCTTTGGGCCATGCTTACGTGTGATTTGTCCCCTGGCCCTGGTCTCCCGAAAGCTGTAGCTTGTGGTTTATTTTTGCTTGTCCCTGCTGCTCCCTAGGACATCAGGGGAAGAGAAAAGATTCAACCCGAGAATCTGCCTTATTCCTAACAGTAAAAGAAATGTCTGTCTCCCCAACTTTTTTGTTTGTAGTAGCCCCCGAAAAGCAAACACTACCTCCCTGATTTCTGGCTTTGAAGGAAGTACAGATTGTAAAAACAGGCATTCTTACAAAGATCACCACTTGCTGGTCACTGTCACACTTACTTCTTGCATAGAAATCATAATTTATGCCCTAAAAGATCGGAGGGTGTGGGGAGGTGGCCAGGGGACAGGACAGTGAACCCTCCAGCAGGATTTAAAAGCTCTAGACATTCACTTTATTTTATATTGAACAGCATCTGAACTTCATGACCAAAAAGCTCCCCCACCCCTCAATTTTATGGATGAAGAAGCTGAGATGCAGGCATGGGCGCAGGTCATGTGGGTTATTAGTGGCAGATCTACTGCTGTCAGGAGGAAGCTGCCTTTCTGGCCCAGTGACCTTCCTCAGATATGTCACACTTCTCTGAGCCTCAGGTATCTGCTCGTTTGAACTTATCAAGGAGTTGATCAGCCCTTGCCCTGTGTCTCCAGGTCAGAACTTTCGGTTGCTCCCACCCTCCCTCACCCTCTTCCTTTGTGTAGAAGGAATCTGAGGCCCATAAAAGAAAAATGACTTGCCCAAGGTCACGCGGCCAGCTGCGAGCAGGTTTGGGCAGAGCCAGAAGCAAACGCCAGCCCCAGCACCTCTGGCCACCTCTGACAAGTCACTTTTCTGAAAATTGAACAAGAGCTGCCGTTGGCTGGAAAAGTGCCACCCACCCTCCCCGGCGCTCAATGTGAACTCAGATGGCATGGCCGGGCCAGGGCCTCCTGGCTGCAGTGGGGCTTTGTGGCCAAGTGCAAGAGCACAGCGGGCCCCACCACCCCATCAGCACGAAGATGCCACCACCAAGTCACCCAGCTCCAAGCCTTGCGGGTTTCCTCTCCCTGGCATGGGGTGCTGGTGCCCTTCAGAGGCAAGTGCTCACCCCTGGCTTGGGGAGCAGCTTCCTTGGGGTGTACAGACAATATGGCCATGCCTCTTTCCCCCCATCTCCTGGCCCTGCTAGCCCCCGGGACCGCTGCCTCTCAGGAGGCTCTCCCCTACCCCTCACCCCCGCTCATGTCTTAGCCCCCTGTGAAGGGGCATATCTGCCTGGCTGATGCCCCCATCGTGATGGTCAGTGGCCAGAACTGAATCACATGCCCACCCCAGAGCTAGAGAGTAGGGTCTGTGGGGTACAGGGGTTCCCCAAGGAGTCAGGATGCTGTTATGAAGGGAAGGGGGTGGATGTAGGTAGCCTCACGCAGGAGCCTCGCACAGGTGTTCTCGCGTGCTGAGTCATTGCACCTCACCCCATACTCACAGGCCAGGTAACGCAGCCACGCACTGTTTTGGATGCCTGTCCTCATGGGGTTATGCTCCCAGTAAACCCCAGAAGTGCATACCCAGACACACGGTGCATAGCGTCACTGCTGTGGCGTGAGCTCTAGGGGGGAGGTTGGTAGACATAACAGAGCATGACCCCCCTGCACTGGGAACCCTTTTTCCTGCCCAGCAAAGGCCACCAGCACATTCCCCATGAACTGCCTTGTCAGGGATGTTCAGGGCAATATGTGACCCCGGGGTCACCAGACCAGAGAGGAGGGGCCCCAGAGGAGGTGCTGGGAGACACATCCACAGGCCCTTGTGCCTGTGTCCAAATCCCAACTTAGCCTCTGTCCCGGGCTCTGTGCTGGGGGCTCGGAAGGACTACCTCTGGTCCTCCGGGAGCCACTAGGCCAGCCCCCAGCCCAGCAGCAGGGTTCTGGGTAGGCTGGGCCTGACTAGCACTGAGACTGTTGTTAGGATTGTTGTCAGCTAGGACTGGGATAAACCGGGCTGGACATGGGGGCCCACAGAAAGTCAGAGGTGCAGCTCCCCCACAGTGGAAGCTGAGGTGGGTGCAGGCTTTGAAGGGGTGACATGCACCAGGTTGTGGAGCCTTTTCCCGGCACCTACACCTGCTGCCTGAGGCCCTGTTCCCCAGTGGGGTGCCACTGGCCGGACCAGCAAGGTTTGGTCAGGCCCTGGGCCCTGTCTCCACCAGCCATGAATTTCTCCCCTTTCACTTCCTGCCTGTGATGGACTGGGGTTCCTGAGATTCAGGAGACACGGAAGCGTGTAGAGCAGGGTGTGACCGAGTCACAGGCTAACTGGCGCTGTCTGCCAGGTGTGGGGCTAGAACTGGGGGGTGGGAGGCAGCAGTGGTATGAGCCTCCACTGATGAGAGCCAGGGCTTGGACGGCAGCTGTGAGGCCCACCCAGGGGGCAGGAGCATGCTTTGGGCCTGAGGTCACAGGGGTATTGGACTGTGACCAACTTGGCTGCATACACACTTTCTATTCCTGGGTCTCGGGCTCCAGCACCAAACATGGAGCTACCCAAGTCTGCTCCCTCGGCTTAGGCGGAAGCACTGGCGCCACCATGAGACCCCACCCTGCACCATGGCTGCGCCAGATCAGCCCGCACCAGCCCACAGCCAGGGCCATCCAACTGTGTGTCCAGTCCTGGGTGTGCTTCACCTTGGTTTAAAAATGCTCAGAACTGGGCCTCCCTGGTGGTCTAGGGATTAAGTCAGCGCTGTCACCACTATGGCCCGAGTTCAATCCCCGGCCAGGGAGCTAACCACACGGCGTAGCAGCCCTCTCTTGTCTCCCCGCTGCTCCCCTCACAGTGTGTTTCAATGGATCTGCCTGTTCTGCTCCCCACTCTGTCTCTGGTGAGTTCTCTCACCCCCTGCACCTCTGGCCTGTACTTCAGTGCTTCTACACACACACACACAAAATGCTCAGAACCATCCAAAAATGCTCAGGGCCAAAATAATGTGTCTCCCCATAGAGGAAAACTGGGGTGGGGTACCCAGAGTTACAGCACAGCTGTGCCCCTCCCAACCCCCACTCACCCAGTTTCCTCACTCACTTATTCACTAGCTCACTTGTTCACTCAATGGTTTGCTTGTTCACTGACTCACGCAGTCGTTGATTTACCCGCTGATGCGCTGCTTCACCCCTCACTCCTATCTCACACAGGAGCTTCACGCAGGAGCCTCATGCAGGTAGCCTCATGCAGGTAGCCTCACGCAGGTGCTCTTGTGTGCTGAGTCATCGCACCTCACCCCATACTCACAGGCCAGGAACGCAGCCATGCACTGTTCTGGATACCTGTCTTCATGGGGTTATGCTCCCAGTAAATCCCAGAAGTGTACACCCAGACACGTGGTGCATAGCGTCACTGCTGTGGCGTGAGCTCAGAGGAGGCTGTGACGTGATGGGGGTTGGCATTTTAGGGGAGCTGGAGTGGGCCCTAGCAGAAATATGATTTTTTTAGGGGCTACCCAGATCCCAGCCCTCTTTCTGGGGAGCCCCTACCTATACTTAGCTCTGTGCCTAAGCATGACCCTGCCTCAGACCCCAGTCTGGAACCCCAGTCTCTGCTCCTTCGGGAGATGATTTTTGAATGAAGGCATGCGGTCAGGGGCAGTGTGGAGGCCTGAGACAGCAGCCGGGGTGGATTTGCGAAAGAGGAGGAGGCTGGGAGATGGGGCAGAGAAGAGGCCAGGGGAAAAGTGGGGTGTGTGGACACAGGACCTGGGAACCGGCGCCCCACGCCCTCGGGGTCTGCAGAGGAGTGGCACGGCCTTGCTTGCACTTTAGATGCATGTCTCTGACTACTGAGTGAGTCAATGAGAGGAAGCCCGTTCCCTGTGTGCCTACTGTGTGCCAGGCACTGAGCTGAGCAGCAGGGAGGGGGGTCCCTATGGAGAAGCCCCTCTCAACATCCCACAGCTGCGCCTCCCCGGAAGGCACCTTCTCCCGGCCACCGGCCCTTTGCTCGCTTGTGTGTTCCAGGCAGTCAGGGGACAGGCCCCAAGCCTGTCTTATTCTCTTAAGACACCTGTGGGCTATTGACCCAGTAGGCATCACCCTAAGGACAAAACAGGGTCATGGGCAGTCTCCCTGTTCTCTTCCTTCCAGACCTTTGTCTGTGAGAAGCAAAGTCCAGGGCAAGGGCTGGGGAAACCAGCCTGGGCAAGGCTTCTGGACTGGGTAGGCATCCCCACGTAGCTGGAACACACCACCCTGACTGTCAGTGAGCTTGCCATGCTGGCGCCTTGGCCATGCGGTGCCTAGGCTGGCCCAAGCCCTGGGCCATGCTGGAAGTTCTCCCTGCTGCCAGGCAGCCGGCCCTCTGGGGGAAGTCCCAGGCCTGGTTGGAACTGTGGGCCCTGGGACCACAGTCTATCCGCCTGGTTCTGACAGCCTCTCACGCACCTGGCTGGCCTGGGCCGTGATGACTGCACTTTGTAGGTGCCACTTGGGAAACTCACAGGGGAGTCCTGCCCAGACCTCCGCCCACGGCCCACTGCCCCCGCTTACAGGAGAGGGAGGACACAGAACTCTGACCCAGGGGTGGAGGGTCCACAGTCACTGTTGGCTCTGGCTGGTCTTGGTGGGGTTCTTGGGTCGTGGAGGCCAGCAGCCTGCCTGAATGTGGTGCCCATCTCTTGCAGATTGGCCAGTTCCTACAGGAGGTTCCTGGTGTCTTGGGAAGAGACCATGTCCACGTCCCCCCACTGTCTGCCCCAGCAGCTCTGTGGCACCAGGCGGAAGCGGGTTTGCACCCTGTTCATCATCAGCTTGAAGTTCATGTTTTTCATCTCCATCGTGATCTACTGGCACGTTGTGGAAGAGCCCAGGAACCCGAGACAGCTCTCTAGCCTGCCCTTCGACGTGCCCTGCCCCCGCCTCCAGCCCCCCGCCCTGTCCCCCAGCAGCCCCCCTCCCCGCAACATCTTCTTCCTGGAGACTTCCGACCGCACTGACCCCACCTTCCTGTTCCTGTGCTCCGTGGAGTCAGCGGCGCGCGCGCACCCCGAGGCCAGCGTGCAGGTCCTGATGCAGGGGCTACGGGGCAGCGACGCCTCCCTGCCTCGGCGCCATGGCCTGTCGCTGCTACGCTGCTTCCCCAACGTGTGGCTGCGGCCACTGGACCTGCCCGAGCTGCTCCAGGGCACGCCCCTGGCGGCCTGGCACGCGTCGGCCTGGAGGCGCTGGGAGCCCTACCGGCTGGCGGTGCTGTCCGACGCTGCGCGCCTCGCGCTCCTGTGGAAGTTCGGAGGCGTCTACCTGGACACCGACTTCATCGTCCTCAAGAGCCTGCAGAACCTGACCAATGTGCTGGGCAAGCAGTCCCGCGACGAGCTCAACGGCGCCTTCCTGGCCTTTGAACGCCACCACAAGTTCCTGGCGCTGTGCATGCGCGACTTCGTGGCGCACTACAACGGCTGGGTCTGGGGCCGCCAGGGCCCGGAGCTGCTCACGCGCGTCTTCAAAAAGTGGTGCGCCATGCGCAGCCTGGGCGACAACAGCATCTGCCACGACAACAGCACCTGCCGCGGCGTCAGCGCGCTGCCCTGCGAGGCCTTCTACCCCATCCCCTGGCCGGACTGGCAGAGGTACTTCGAAGATGTCAGCCCCGCCGAGCTGCCGCGCCTCCTCCATGCCACCTACGCCGTGCACGTGTGGAACAAGATGAGCCAGGGCACGCGCCTCGAGGCCACCTCCCGGACCCTGCTGGGCCAGCTCCAGGCGCGCTACTGCCCCACCACCCACGCAGCCATGAAGATGGTCTCCTGACGGCCGCGGGGCCCCCCACCCCAAGGGAAAAGGGTCTCCGCCTTTCTTACTGGGGACATGGAGATGAGGCCAGGCAACTGTCAGTGCCCTGGAGAGGACAGACGATGAAGTTCTCTGCCATAAATGGAGACCCGGAGTATAAATGAAGCTGCAGCAGGAGGAGGCTGGGGAGAGCCGTCGAGAGCAGCGCTGCCTCCCACTCTCCCAGCCCAAGCTTTTATTAAAGACATGAACAAAGGAACAAGAAGATAGCACACACTTGTGTTTTTGCTTATACAGATTAATAAGTTACTGCCGAAAACAAGTTTACCAGGCACATGCCAGCACGTCCTCAGAGAACAAGAGTCAGTTCTGGGAAGAAGTTCTGTTTGCAGAACTTCCAACGTCCTGGAACTCCATATGTGAGTAAACAGGTGCTCTCCAAAGGCTCCAGTTCCCCGCAGGGCAGCAGGCTCCCGACATGTCAGCCCAAGGAGTATTCTTTTTTTATATATATAATAAATTTTATTTTTATATTCCCTATACAATTGCAACCCCCTTTTTTTGACCCCAATCCCTCCCCTCCCTGCCCCCCACCCCCCATAGAGTGTCTCTGGTTCATAGTTTTTTGTTGATTTTGATTTTCACTTTTTATAGTTACTCATTTTCCTGGTCCATTATTTAAGTTTTCTAGATTCCTGCTATGAGTGAGACCATCCGGTATTTTTCTTTTTCTTTCTGGCTTATTTTGCTGAGCATGATCCCTTCCAGCGCCATCCATGTTGCTGCAAATTGCAAGTGTTTATCTTTTTTGAATGCTGAGTAATATTCCCTGGTGTATATGTACCACATCTTCTTGATCCAGTCATCTATTTTTGGGCATTTGGGTTGTTAACAAAGCTTAGCTATTGTAAACAGTGCTGCTATAAACATAGGGGTGCAGGTGTTCTTTGGAGTTGATGTTTCTGTGTCCTTTGGGTAAATACCTAGGAGTGAAATTACTGGATCATATGGAAGCTCTATGTTTAGTAGGTCAAGAAACCTCCACACAGCTCTCCATAGTGGTTGGACCAGTTTGCACTCCAACCAGCAGTGCAGGAGAGTTCCTTTTTCTCCACATCCTCGCCAACATTTGTTGTTGCTAGTTTTTTTAATATGTGCCATTCTCACTGGTGTAAGATGGTATCTCATGGTAGTTTTGATTTGCATTTCCATGATAACAAGTGATGTTGAACATTTCTTCATATGCCTGTTGGCCATTTGCATTTCCTCTTCAGAGAAGTTTCTTTTTAGCTCTTCTGCCCATTTTTTGACTGGATTATTTTCTTTGTTGTTGTTGAGTCTCATCAGCTTTTTGTAGATTTTTGTGATCAGTCCTTTATCATTAGTGTTGTGTGCAAAAATGTTCTCCCAGTTGGTGGGGTTTCTCTTTGTTTTTGTTACTGTCTCTTTGCTGTGCAAAAGCTCTTTAATTTGATGTAGTCCCAGCTGTTTATCTTTGCCTTCACTATCACTGCTTTGGGCGATGTGTCTGTAAAGATGTCTTTGATGTGCATATCATGTAGTGTTACGCCTATATTTCCTTCTATGTATTTTATGGTTTCAGGTCTTATGTCTAGTCCTTTAATCCATTTTGAGTTGATTTTTGTGTATGGTGTGAGGTAGTGGTCAAACTTCATTCTTTTGCATGTAGCGACCCAGTTTTCCCAGCACGATTTATTGAACAAACATCCTTTGCTCCAATGCATAGTCTTTGCTCCTTTGTCAAAGATTAGTTGACCATAAATCTGTGGGTTTATTTCTGGATTTTCTATTCAATTCCATTGGTCTGTGTGTCTGTTCTTGTTCCAATGCCATGCAGTTTTGATGATTATGGTTTTGTAGTATAGGTTGAAGTCTGGGAGTGTGATGCCTCCATTCCCTTCTTTTTTTTTTTTTCAGGAGAGCTTTGGCTATTCGGGGTTTTTGGTGATTCCATATGAATTTCATCAATAATTGTTCTATTTCTTTGAAGAATGACATTGAATTTTTTATTGGAATAGCATTGAATCTGTATATTGCTTTTGGTAGGATGGCCATTTTAATAATGTTTATTCTTCCAATCCATGAGCAGGGGATGTCTTTCCATTTCTTTGTGTCTTCTTCTATTTCTTTTAACAGTGTTTTATAGTTTTCTTTGTATAGGCCCTTTACCTCTTTTGTTAGATTTATTCCCAAGTATTTGATTTTTATGGTTTTGATAATAAAAGGGATGATTTTTTTTTATTTCTTCTTCTTCAGATTTATTGTTTGTGTATAGGAAGGCTACAGACTTTTGCATGTTGATTTTGTATCCTGCCACTTTGCTGAACTGATTGATGAGTTGAATTAGTTTTTCTGTGGAGTTTTTGGGGTTCTCTATGTATATTATCATATCATCTCCAAATAGTGATAGTTTGACTTCTTTTCCTATTTGGATTCCTTGTATGTCTTTCTCTTGTCTTATTGCTCTGGCTAGGACTTCCAGTATTATATTGAAAAGCAGTGGTGAGAGTGGACATCCTTGTCTTGTTCCAGATCTTAATGGAATTGCTTTCAGCTTTTCACCATTGAGAATGATACTGGCTGTTGGCTTGTCATAGATGGCCTTTATGATATTGAGGTATGTTCCTTGTATCCCAAGAATTTCAAGGGCTTTTATCATGAATGGGTGTTGCACTTTGTCGAATGCTTTCTCAGCATCTACTGATATTATCATATGGATTTTATATTTCTTTTTGTTGATGTGTTGGATAACATTGATTGATTTTCGGATGTTGAACCATCCTTGTGTCCCTGGCATGAATCCTACTTGGTCGTGGTGAATTATCTTATGGATATAGTGTTGGATTCTGATAGCTAAAATTTTATTGAGGATTTTTGCATCAGTGTTCATTAGGGAGATTGGCCTGTAGTTTTCTTTTTTTGTGTTGTCCTTGTTCGGTTTTGGTATTAGTGTAATGTTGGCTTCTTAGAACGTGTTTGGTATTAACCCTTCCTTCTCAAATTTTTGGAAGAGTTTGTGAAGGATAGGCACTATTTCATTTCTGAATGTTTGGTAGAATTCATTTGTAAATCCATCAGGTCCTGGGCTTTTGTTTTTGGGGAGGTTTTTGATTACCATTTCAATTTCGCTGCTTGTAATTGGTCTGTTTAGGTGTTCTATTTCTTCTTTATCTAGCTTTGGGTGATTGTAGAGTTGTAGGAATTTGTCCATCTCCTGTAGATCGTTGAACTTGTTTCCATATAACTGTTCATAGTAGTTACTGATTATTTTTTTGATTTCTGCTGTGTCCGTTGTGATTTCTCCTCTTTCATTGATGATCCTGTTTATTTGTGTTTTCTCCCTTTTTTCCTTTGTGAGCCTGGCTAGGGGATTGTCTATTTTATTGATTTTTTCAAAGAACCAGCTCTTGGTTTCATTGATCTTTTGGATTGTTTTTTTTAGTTTCAATTTCGTTTATTTGTGCTTTGGTTTTTATTATTTCTTTTCTTCTACTGGTTTTGGGGGTTTTTTGTTGTTCTTTTTCTAGATCTTTGAGCTTTGAGATTAGGTTGTTTCTTTGAGTTCTTTCTTGTTTCTTGATGTGAAGCCTCTATTGCTATATATTTTCCTCTTATTACTGCTTTTGCTGCATCCCATACATTTAGGAAATTGCTGTCCTCCTTGTCATTCAATTCAAAGAATTTTTTAATTTCTTCTTTGATCTCCTCATTAGTCCAGTGGTCTTCCAGTAGTGTAGGTTTCAATCTCCATGAGGTAGGAGAGTACCTTGCCTTCTTTTTATGGTTTATTTCTAGTTTGATGCCTTCATGGTCAAAAAAGATGGTTGGTATGATTTCAATCTTAGTGTATCTGTTGATGTTTGTCTTGTGTCCCAGTATGTGATCGATCCTGGAGAATGATCCGTGTGCGCTTGAGAAACATGTGCACTCAGATTTTTTTGGGTTTAGTGTTCTGTAGATGTCTGTTAAGCCCAAGTGCTCTAGATCCTTATTTAGAGCTTTACTGTCTTTACTTGTTTTTTGTCTCGTTGATCTATCCATTGTTGATAGTGGTGTGTTGAAGTCTCCCACTACGTATGTGTTTTCTCTAATGTCTGTTTTCAAAGATGACAATAGTTGTCTGATATATTTTGGTGTCCTTCATTTGGTGAATATATGTTAATGAGTGTTATTTCTTCTTGAAGTATTGTCCCCTTGATCATAATGTAGTGACCATTGGGGTCTCTTTTTATCTTTTTTAGTTTGAAATATGTTTTATCTGATATAAGTATAGCTGTTCCTGCTTTCTTTTTTGGTCCATTTGCTTGTAGGATTGTTTTCCATCCTTTAACTTTGAGTCTATTTTTATCTTTTGTATCTAAATGTGTTTCCTGGAGACAGCAAAAGGTTGGGTTTTGTTTCTTAATCCAGCCTGTGACTCTGTGTTTTTTTATTGAAGAGTTTAGTCCATTTACATTTAGAGTTAATATTGATATGTTAGCATTTGTATTTGCCATTGTGTTTGTCTTCCTTTGATTTTATTTATTCTTTTAATAACTTTTTTGGGGGCCTTCTTTTTTTGTTATTCATCCCTCTGAGGCTCTGGCTTTAGGACTCCTTGTAGTATTTTTTGGAATGGGGGTTTAGTCATAATGAAATTCCAGAGTTTCTGTTTGTCTGAGCAGGTCCTTATTCTTTCTTCATAGAGGAAGGAGAGCTTTGCAGGATAGAGTATTCTTGGTTGGCATCTGTTTTCTTAGAGTCTGTTGACTATGTCCCTCCACTCTCTCCTTGCCCGTAGTGTTTCTTCAGAGAAGTCTGATTGGTTTTCCTTTGAATGTTATCTGTTTCTTCCCTGTTGTCAGCTTCATTATTTTTTCCTTGTCTTGGATTCTTGGGAGCTTTACTATTATGTGTCTTGGTGTATTTTTCCTCGTCATGGAAGTTTGGTGTTCTTCTTGCTCTTGTATATCAATTTTCAGCTCCTTCTTCACATTTGGGAAGTTCTCTTCAATTAT